TATTTCAAAATTTCTCAATAACTTCATAAGTTTTAATAGTATAAACATAAAATTTGATAGTTGTAAGTGTTCAAATATGAGAAATACCAATTTGTATTTTAGTTTGTAACCGTTCTTAGATGGCGCTAGTGATATCCAATTTTTTAGTCTAAATCTGCTGACTTTAAAAAAACTTTTTTAACTGCTCACCCTGTATATATCTGACCGGAAGTATAATGGGTTTTGAGACAAGAGGAAGCCTTACCTGCATACAAAATTTGAAGTTTTTCTCTTAAGTCGTTTTTGAGCTATCGCGCCAACAGACAGACGACGGACGGCAGACAGACCGACGGAGTGGGGAAAACATGTTTTTCCTAATCTAGGGACCCAAAACGTAAAAATCTAAATTTATACGATTGCAGTACTTCCCTTTTATGGAGGAAAGTAAAAATAAAATAAGTATACTCAATCTCTTGAATGTTCCCCTACTAATTTAAAGGTGATCTATCAGTCTCCTTAGTTTTTTTTGTATATTGCCGGCTGGCTTTAAAGTCACATTATATCTCTTGCTCGTACTCTACCTATAGGAGGATTAAAAAAGAATTGGGTAGTAGAAGAACCGATAATTGGAACAATCTCTTGGGGCTGAGACATGCTAAGATACTTATGGGTGAATATAACCAGAAAATATCGGAAGAACAGGCTACGTATTGTAACAAGAATCCTTACTGGGCATTGCCGACTAAAAGGACACCTCAGTAAACTGAGAGTAGTAGAAGATAGTGAGTGCAGATTCTGAAGCCAGTCCAAATCCTACACTTCCTTGAGAAGATAGGATTGGAAGGGTCGTTATAGGCATTTCCTTGCTCCATTAGCGACAGAAGGGAGCTCAATAGATCTTTTAGATCGCAGTGTATTAACACCCCATTCCCAACACAACATAAAGGGGAATAAACTCCATCTTGTTTAAAACTTAAAAGTTCTAATAATCTCCGTTGGACTGCTTCAATTCTATCAATAAGTAACTGATAGAATGGGCTACATACAACTGAGGCGTATGCAAGTTTAGATCTGACAAATGAATAATACAATAATTTTAGTGTCTTCTTCGGTTCCTTACAATCACGACTGTTACGGACGATAAATCCATTATATCATATCCTTTTTGAATAATGGATAAAATTAGTTAAAAATCTGAAAGCCCATTCGATTTTACATGAAAAATGTACTCTTTTTTTTAAATTATCTAACTTTATTGGTTTTTGCGTTTTTTGCTTTTAATACCTGTGATTTCTTATAAAATTTTTATTGTTTTAAATTGTAAAATGAGCGAAGTGACATTAAAAAAAACCGTAACAAATAATGACAATTACTAACAACACCAACTACAAAAAAAATTTCAAATTAAGTGTTCGAAGTGCCCACCATCTACCTCAATACACATTACAATGCGCTTTCTTAAAGACCTTTGAATATTAAACATTTTTTCCGCAACACGTCGATAAAATTATTTTGTCCTTTATAAACTGTTTATTTCATTCGTGATCATATTGAAAAATCAATGGGTTTGAATCTGGACTCCTTGGCGGACAAAAAAAATGCACTTCCACGGCCAGTCCAATGATAGAGAAAGTGTAGATTCAGATAATGGCGCACAGGCAGAGAATTTTATGATGACGCGCCATCCTCCATAAACTAAACATGATGAAATGGCAACTGACTGTTGGTAGTTACAATTTTGCATTCAAAAACAATAATAAGGGCTTTATTTCCTTTAAATGTATAATTCTTGATAGTTTACACTTAAATGAGAATCAATAAATGACATTGGACAACTGACAATTGGTAGTTTACAATTTGGTTTCAAAAACAACATTAAGTGATCAATTTCTTTTAACCGTATAATTCTTGATATTTCTTGAAAATTCCCGTTATTTCCGACATTTTCTTATAAATTACTTAAATTTATTATAAATTCATCGGAAATTCAAGCCAATAATCTAGCTGTTCCTTAGAAATTTCCGTAATTCCCTCTCAATTTCTTTAATTTACTTAAAATTTATAATTTTACCCGGCAATTTCTTGGAAATTTCCATAAATCCCTGGTAGTTCTTTAAATTTCTTTTAAATTCATCAGAAATTTGCCCTGTTAATTTCTAAAATACATTTAAAATCCACCGGCAACTCTTGCATTTACCCGACAATTCCTTGGAAATTTCCATAATTCTCTGACAATTCCTTAAATTTATTTTAAATTAATCGGACATTTGTGCAATTCCCGTAGAAATTCCCGTTATTATCGGCAATTTTTTGAAAATTACCGTTGTTTTTTAGGGTTTCTTATCCAAACGGTAACCAACGGGACCCTATTATTAAGTCTCCGATGTCTGTCTGTCTGCCAGCGGGCTGTTTTTCATGATTCGTAATAGGTAGAAGCATTTATTCGACAATTCGCACAATTTATTAAAAATGTTCGTAATTTCCAGGCAATTCCTTAAATTTGTTTCAAATTGATCGAAAATTCGAAAAATTATCCAGAAATTCTATGTAAATTCCCGTAATTTCCTTTCAATTTATTTCATTTACTTAAAATTGATCAATATACCCAGCAATTCCTTAGACATTTCCATAAATCCTCGGTAATTCTTTAAATTTCTTTGAAATAAATCGGAAATTTGCACAATTACCTGGCTTTTCCTTAAAAATATTTTTAATGCCTTGTCAATTTATAAAATGTATTTAAAATTCATCGTCAATTCACACATTTACCTGACAATTCCTTGGAAATTTCCATAATTCTCTGACAATTCCTTAAATTTATTTTAAATTAATCGGACATTCATGCAATTCCCGTAGAAATTCCCGATATTATCGGCAATTTTTTGAAAATTACCGTTATTTTTTAGAGTTCCTTACCCGAAGGGTAACCAACGGGATCCTATTATTAAGCCTCCGCTATCCGTCTGTCTGTCAGCGGGCTGTATCTCATGATTCGTAACAGATAGATGCATTTATTCGACAATTCACACAATTTCTTAAAAAAATTCGTAATTTCCAGGCAATTCCTTAAATTTATTTCAAATTAATCGAAAATTCGCAAAATTATCCAGAAATTCTACGGAAATTCCCGTAATTTCCTGCCAATTTCTTAAATTTATCTAAAATTCATCGACACTTCACTTTCACTTCATTTATCTGGCAATTTCTTAGAATTTTTAGTAAATTCCGGTAATACCTTATAAAAAATAAATGCGGCCGTAAAGTAAATGCGGGCAGAAAAACTTACACTATAGGGATGTTAATAAATCAGTAAATTTTAATATTGACGCACAGGCAGTCACTTTAAATCCATGCTGATAATGTCTTTCTCTTACAGCATTTGCATTCTCAGAGTCTCTTTGTTTAGTAAAGGTCGCCTCATCAATGAAGAGAATATTATGAACAAAGTTTTGGTTTCCTCTTAGTTTATCTCGTAAAAATTGGTAAATCTTGAGGTAATAAAGATTATAATAGTTTCTTTCTCGAGAATAACATAAAATTTTAGAAGCAAAAGAATTCAATTCACTTACTTACGCCTTATAGGTATTATTTAGTCATACAAAACAAGTTTTTTACATTTTCTGAAAAAGTCGCGTAATGCGTAGTATCCAGCGATTTTTACATCTCTGTTTCACAAGTAAAAACTGAACTTATTTGCCAAATTTCAATTAATTTTGGTTTAAAAACATGATGCCAAAAAATTATCTTAACATAAATTTTTGTCAATTAACCACAGGCGTAACTGGAAACATTTTCTGAGGGTAATAGCCCATTATATTTAAAATTCAAATAACGCATTTTATCCAATTTTAGATACGGTAAATATTTTAATCGTCCATTTAACAATATTTGAAGATTTTCGTACGTATGAAAATTCGTTTTTCCACTAATAAATTTTAATCCTACTCTGTTTTATATTATTTATATCAAAAACCAACATGGTTGGGGTTAGGCTCTTGAAGCTAGGACAATTCGAGTCGAGATATTGAGACTATGGATGTATTTTCCCATAAATATGAAAATCACAAAAAATCCTGCCCCCCTCATCTTCTAGCTTATATGACAGAGATGTCACAAAAATGAGGCTACAATTTTGTCTATAAAACAATTGGTATCTATGCTTTCTAGATACATACCCAAAATGAAATACTTTTCAAATGCGGATTACCTGCTTTAACAATGTTTCAAATTAAAACCGTTGTGGCAAAGATGACATTTTCACGATCGTACCAATATTTTCCAAACGATGAAAAGTACCTCTATAACCTCTATCATTAGATATTGAATTATATTCCAAAGGAAAGACAGTAGATATAGAAATTTAATTTCAACACTTTTAAGAAATTGATGGCCATTTTTGATCTAATCCATCACAGACTATTGATCAGTAAAAATTACTGACAATTTTATTGAAATGCAAAATCATAAGAATTTATGGACCGTAAGAGTTAGGATGTCCTAAAAAAAGTGTTGGGTTTGTATGAAGAAAAAAAAGTATATTTCGACTGTTTTATTTAATGCGCTCTGTTTCCGACTTTAAAAAAAAACGCTGAATGTCCACAAGGGTTTTACTTTTGAAATTAGATGGGCATGTAGAAGGCTATCATTTTTTTAAACGGATTTTTTCTAAACGAAATTTGACCTAATTATAAGACTATCTGATATTTACTTAACACTCATGTCCTTACCTAAAAATCGACCAACCTTGTTCCAAAATATATCGAACCAACCTCGTACGTCCACCTACAAATCCGAATCCGGAATGACGCAGAGCAACGACTTGGAACCTTTTTATAAATATATTTGCAATGTCGACTGCACAAGCACAAACCGTTTGACGCTATAGTATCATACACTATTAAATTCGGCAAAAAATCGATAAAATGACTATACCGCACTCAATTTTCTATCCGAGCGAATAGCGATAGAATTCGTAGGCCAAAATATCGACTTAACCTCAAAATGTCCGTCGTCCTTTTCAGTTAAATGGAGCCGGGCATAGTGAAGATCGCGGACGATGCAGACTTCGACATGCTGAAGAATCTGATCGACGATCACACGAATTGGAAATTGGACTACGACAAAGGAGACGAAACGAAGGTATTTAAAAATTAGTTTTTGTAATTTTATATCTTTATTTGTTAACTGTAACGTCGTGCGATAGAGAAAAATGTTCAGACTCAGGTTTATCAATATCGTATTGCAGTGGTATAGCGGAGGTAGCGTTCCGGTAACTGCATTATGTTGGCGCAACGAAAAAAGGTAACTGTAAAGTGTAAAACGTTCTTTAAAGCATTGCTCTGAAACATTTTTTTATTTCATTCATTAAGGACCGATTCCACCGTTGTGTTACACGAAGTTTAAAATGACATTTTTACATTAATAATGTCATTTTAATCTCCGTTTAACACAACTGTGGAATCAGCCCTTAAAGCATGTTGTAGATTATAACTTAGTTTTATACTGATTTTACTGAGCCAAATTCTGAGATTTTTAAACATTATTTTCGCATACTCTGTATCAGAATTTGTTAGTTTACTAACGCCCGTAAGCACCGTACACGTTTAATCCAGATTAAGGGTTTAATCGTGTTTAGTACCATTTTTAGCTATGCACCGCAATAAAATCATTTTTAATCCGAGTTTATTCTAATCTGTCAATATCATAGGGTGAAATAGATTGCTCAAAGCGGGTCCTTTACGAGCGGCCATTTCGCCTCGCAAGTGCTGATTAATCAGAATCGATTTTGAAAAAATGTGTTTACAAACCAATATTTAGCCTTTGAATATAGTAAAAAAATAAATTATCTACATTTTTACTTCAAGGCATAGGCTTATGTTTATTTTGAAAAATAAGGATGATCAATCTATGTAACTATCTATTTCATTGACCTTGTCAAATCACTAGGGCTACAGGGTTGCCATAATTTTGCTATATCATAACCTGTCAAAACTCACTGGTAGCCATTTTGTTTGGAATGCCTAATTATTTAATCGAGATTTTCTAACGTCAAAAAGACAAAAAGATGTCAAAATTATGAAGACTAATAGTGGATTTTATTTGTTGCACTAGTGTCACACTCGACACTGTATTCAAACTGTCATACTTGTCAAAAGTATATGATACACGTGTGCTACTGTCAAATATTTGAAGCTACACTCAACAATCAAATACGATTAGTGCAGAAAACTTACACCTAGTGGAACAAATAAAAACCGCAATAAGAGATACGCATTGGGATCATAGATATGAAGGAGGGGAGATAGGAACTGTCATTTCAGAAAACGTTTACACAAGAACATGTCTAGGTAGTGAGTGTCTGCGCAGTTGAGTGATTCTAGGATTGTACTCAGTTTTTTACTAATTCAATAAAAATATACATATAAAGGTACAGTTACATCTGACATTTATTGCATGATATTTATGTCTGACAGTTATTTAGTCCAGTGTAAACACACAAACATTTCTCTCGGACATATATTTTTGAGTGTTTACACTGGAATAAACAACTGTCAGACATAAATATCATGCAATAAATGTCAGATGTAACTGTACCTTAATTAAATGCAAATTAGGTACTAATACTTTTTTAATAAGAAGAATAAACAATTAAACCAGATTGTGTATTAGTTGTGATAATTTAAGTATAGATAGTGCGGCAAGGGACAGTGCGGCAAGGGACGGCTAATTATTTGCGTTGGCGTTAAGGGGCAACTTATACATAAATATACAGTATGGTTCAAATGAAAGGAATAAATTCATTATAATGAAAGTAGTTGGTTTTTCGAAAAAATGCTCGGACAGGTCAATTTTGTTTAATGATGTTTATGTCAAAAGAAAAATTATTTTGTTAAAAACCTTGAATGATGTTTTTTTTAATACATATTTTTTATTTTCGTGTTTATGTATTTAAAAATTTGAATAAATTTCAGTTTTCTTAATTTGTAGGTTTGTTTCCTTTAAAGTAAGAAATTAAAATACACTAAGTCAAAAAAAGTGTAACCTCCCCTCTTAAATTAGGGCTGGGTCAAAATCGACCCAACAATACCAGTTGTGTAGCCTAGAAATCACCATACCAGTTCAGGGTTAATAAAAACGCAATTTTTTAAAAAGAATTCAAGTTTCCCCCACTTCTAATTTTTAGGCAGTGACGTCATTGGCAATTTTTTTAAACAGTAACCCAAATTTTTTTCTTGATTTTGATAGATCTTACAATTTCCTACTCGGAAACATAATATTTGAAATATCTTACATAACAATTTTTTTGAATGAAAGTCATTTAAAGATCAGACACATAAATTTTATTTTGAACGAATATTTGTAATTAAGTGCTTAATACAAAATAATAATAATAAAAACGAATTTAATGACAATTTCACAGCAAAATAATTAAAAAAATATTCTACTAAATTAGGTGTTCAAAATGTCCTCCACTGACGTCTTGCTTTTTATTAGTACAATAAATATTATTATTATTATTATTCATTAAATATAACCAAATCTATATCAAGTTCTCAAATTGTTGACCCTCAGCTAAAATACAATAGAAAAGACGTGCAGCGATCTCTTCTTGGACGTTCTCCAAAATTTCCGGAGTTATGTTTGCAATCTCAATACGTATCCGTTTTTTGAGATCATTGATATTTTGTGGTCTATTTTGGTACACTTTACTTTTCAAGTATCCCCATAAAAAGAAATCAAGAGGAGTTAAATCGGGTGACCTAGGAGGCCATTCTATTGATCCTCTTCGACCTATCCATTGATTTGGGAAGATGTTGTCCAAGTAGTTTCGCACCAAGACAGCATAGTGTGGAGGCGCACCGTCTTGCTGTAGCCACAAATCATTTCTGTTTGGGAACAATCGGTTCAATTCGGGGATCCAGAAGTTTTGAAGAAATTCTAAATATCGTGGACCTGTTAAGGTTTCTTTGAAAAAATATGGCCCAATAGTCCTATTATCTATTATTCCCGCCCAAACATTCACTTTTTCTGGGTATTGAGTATGATACTCTTGCATCCAGTGTGGATTTTCGGTAGCCCAATACCGAAAAGTCTGACGATTGACATGACCGTTTAGTAAAAATGTAAATTCATCGGACAAAAGTATAGTTTTTAAAAACATTGGATTTCTGTTGTTTTTGTCCATTATAATTTCACAGAATTCAACTCGTTTATCAAAGTCATCTTCCATAAATTTTGTACTAAAGTAACTTTGTAGAGATGCTACTTTTGCTTCTTTAGCGTTCTAAGAACTGTTGAACTTCCCAAGTCATTATCTAATGCTACTTGCCGTGAACTGGTATGGGGATTATCTTCAAAGACTAACAGAACATCCAGTTTCTTGTTTTCGGAAATTGGGTTTCTACTACCTTTAGTGATGTCTTTTACATGACCCGTTTCTCTGAATTTTTTCTCAATTTTATTCACAGTGGATTGTGAAATTGGTTCTCGGTTTGAATATTTATTATTAAATAACGTACATACATTTTTCTGCGTACGTATATTATCTCCACAACCAATCATTATTAAAACTTCAATTCTTCAGTCAGCTTCATGTTGATGAATACAAAAACTTTTTGAAAACGTCCACCACATTACTATTAACCACTTGATAGAAAGCAAATTAAGTTGAATGTCAAGGTAGCAATTTTGATAAGATAACTAGATTCGTTTTAGAAAAAGTAAAAAGATAAGATTTAAAAATAATAAAGAAATAATATACAATACTAAATTACTTAGACGTCGCCACTGTGCCACCCAAATTACTCTACGACTCACAGGATTGATCCGTTTTAGACGTACGTCACCTTAAAATGTTCGTCTTGAGTTTGCCTATCGACCCTTGTTCCTGGATTTTTGATTTCGAATTTTATTTTTCTGTAATTTGTGTCCAAAAATTTACTTTCATGGAAAAATGGCGATTTTGGGTGCAAAAGTCATCCTAGCGAACGCAACATTGAGTTTTTACAAAACTTTTTTGAAGGAAACTCTTCCTCTTGACAACCCCTACAACCCTGTGTACGTCAAATTGCGAGAGAAATTGAACGAAATTGAACGAAAAGTGTTCAGTATCACTTAAGGAATATGTCCGAATTTTTACAGAATTTTTGGAAATTTTCCGAGATTCTGGAATTTGGCGATTTCCTGGCCAAATTAAATGGCCAAAAATATCCTCAAACATTCTGAGAAAATTTTTACGTATTGCTGGATTGATTACAAACACTTTTTGTTGAAACAAATTTAGATTTTTGTTCCAATAGATTTTTGAGGAACAATTTCCTTTCGCATCAATAGTTTTGGATCACTATGGTCGTTTTTAGGCATGACGGCCAATTTCTCTCGCAATTTGACGTACACAGGGTTGTAGGGGTTGTCAAGAGGAAGAGTTTCCTTCAAAAAAGTTTTGTAAAAACTCAATGTTGCGTTCGCTAGGATGACTTTTGCACCCAAAATCGCCATTTTTCCATGAAAGTAAATTTTTGGACACAAATTACAGAAAAATAAAATTCGAAATCAAAAATCCCGGAACAAGGGTCGATAGGCAAACTCAAGACGAACATTTTAAGGTGACGCACGTCTAAAACGGATCAATTCTGTGAGTCGTAGAGTAATTTGGGTGGCACAGTGGCGCTCCGCGCCACTGTGCGTCGGTGGAGGACAACTAATTTGCTAGAATATTTTTAAATTATTTTGCTGTGAAATTGTCATTATCCGATTTTCATTTGTTTTCGAGTTATGGCGTAATTAAAAATGTTCATCTAGCTTTCCACTTATGAATTTTAACATTATCAAAATATTCCATATGTTCAAGGCTCAAAGGCATTTGATAATTCTGACGTTTTGATGAACTGTCAGTGTACAGTAACTGAATGTTTAATTTCGAATTTATGTGATTGTTAGTGTTGCAAAATGCCAGATACTTATTCAAATTTAGAATAAGAGAATTTTTATGTGTAAATTTGTTTATTTGTTAATATGCTATAACTTGAAAACAAATGAAAATCGGATAAGAACATATGAGTTTTTTTACATTATTTTCACGTGTATAATATACTACTAAAGTTTGGTGCGCTCCTACCGACTCACCCTGTATAATTTAAAATCGTTAAAAACTAAAAAGTTTTCATTGTGCCTTTTGGGGAAGAGTGTGACGTGCCCCAAGCCTAAGAAATGTGGTAAGTGTACCAAAAACATTTTAAAAATATTGTCAAAGGAATGAGGCGTGGTTGAGTTTAAATAAATTATATATTTTTTTATATTTTGTATTTTCTTTCAAAGACGAAATTGGTACAAAATACACGACTTCGTGACACCTTTTCGTGGTAATTTCTTTAGTATCTTTCCTTTGATCAGATTGAACCCGGGAGCTTTTTTTACATTAATACTATTTATTTCCATTTCTACTTCTTTAGGACTAGTTAATATTTTCTCTATATCACTAACTTCCTCTTAGTTGTCCATTTCAATTTCTTCACCTTCTCCTGGGTTCGGGTGGAAAACGCTTTCTAAATTGGCAAAGACATCAACTTTTTGTTTGCAACTTTTTGTCCACATGAATGATCTTCAATTAGATTTTTTTCAAAATTGTTTTACCCATTCTCTATGCCATTTTTATACTATGAGAATTCTTATAAATGTTTTGACGTTATAGTTTTTATATAAATAATATTATCTCTAAAACTTTTATAAATGTATAACAGTTATTATAAATGTTTATTGCCCTCTTATACACATTCTAAGATTTATTCTAAACGCTAAAAAGTCAATAATAATGTTATTACTGGACAATAATGATATTCCAGTAAAATGTGCTTTAAAAAATCTAAGGGACATAATATGCGTTGCCTTGACATAACTCTTATACTAAGGCTAAAAAGATTAAGGACGAACACGTATTTCAATATCACAGCTGGCGCTGACATCTACACACTACATTCTAACGTATTTCACTGTAAACACTACTGGATACTGGATCAATGTTTTAATTATTCAAGGTTAACAGATGGCGCCACTCGAAACGCACTTATTTCGAATTAAACAGATATACAGCTCTTTAATGGAAAGCTGTTATTTTAATAATGTTATTTTTAGTCGATATTGATAAAATAAACTAATTTTGTTACAGAATAATATTATATATTTATGTATTCAATATTGATCCGGTACTTTTTTGTATCATTATTTAGGTCATCCAATCTTAATTTATTTTGTGAGAAGGGAAAATGTTTTTAACGAGTTGAACTAGTTGAAAATAACTCCTAACAAAATAAAAATACTTCTAACATGTGTATTGTAAAGAATTATTTAGAGGGTTTCTAAATAATTTTTGAAATAAGGTTATTCTTTGATCAAGTTTAATAATTTATTTATTATGACAATTCTCATCACCCATCAACCTAATCCATTTCCCTGGAGACCGCTACAAGACATCCTCTTACAGGATGATCTATTATTACATGTATCATGAACTATTTTTTTCTATAAATTGTATAAGTGTAAAGGATTACTCAGGTAATATACTTAAAAACCTTTTATTTAATAGTTCTGATAAATTAATACAAGATTCAAAATATCTAAGGTGACCTTTGTCGTCCCTCATGCTTTACCGGATGGCGCTCTCTTCTCGTCTGTCTCTTGATGGTCTTCACTTGAATGAGAGCCATATGCATAAGAAACCAACACTTTTAGCACATATATTACAATAAAAAGATCAGTATATCGCCTCTGAGGCGTCATTGTTAATTAAAATTAAAGTTCTCTGTATGTGTAAAAGCACATAATGCTGCAACTTACTGTAAATGAAACAAGTACCTTATTAATGTTAAAATGAGTTTAATATTACTACTATAAAATTCAATGGATCATACATTTTTTTAGGTATGGACCAAAACAACACCAAATACTAGCTTTAAGATGGTAAAAGTACAATCAGTCTTCCCAGAAATATGTGCAACTACATTGTTCGACGTACTTCACGATCCGAATTATAGAAAAGAATGGGACGAGCACATGCAGGCTTCTATAGAAATAGGTTATTTAAATCCAAACAACGACGTAGGATATTATGCTTGTAAGAAGTAATTTACATTATTAGAGTTTTAAAGAAAACTTATGAGGTATACTAGAGTCAAAAATATAATATAGTAGCACCTACATATACTAATATCAAAATTTCATACCAATATGACGAAAGTGATGGTACTTATGTCATTTCCATCAAGGAACTGCCCTTAATTTGAGAAGTCGATGTCTAAAATATACTTATTTGTAGCCCAAAAAGTATAATTTTCTTTCAACATACAATTTTCTTTTAATTGTTATTTAGTAACAGTACTTATTGAGTTTTCCAAAAACTACATAATTTTTATTTACATTTCTTCCTTTTCTTATCGTAGACATGACTAATATATTAATTTAGTGTGTTTTTTTTTTTCAGTATCATGTCCAGCTCCAGTAAAAAATAGAGACTTCGTATTACAAAGGTCATGGCTGGATATGGGTAGTGAAAAATTAATTTTAAATCATTCGGTGAATCACAAAGATTACGCCAGTAGAAAAGGTTATATAAGGTACTATTAACAATAAAAAAACTATTGCTAATAAACATTGCTTACTGATTTTAATTTATCAAACAAATTACTGAGAAGTTAGCGTATTCAAACGACATTTTAATATAGTAGAGATCTGTTTTGGATTATCATAACCATTAATTATTTTACTACTGACATTTATGCCAGACACCCTTTAAATTACTTTTTTTTTATCGTATCAATCTTTTGGGTTATTAGGGACATGAAATGCCTTAGACCATTGTGCTTTGGGCATCCTCCTAAATTGATAAGCCGACATGATCTAGTTGTCAAGTGCAATACTCACCGAATAAAACTCGTCTAATAAATGAAAGAGTTGGGCAATTGTAAACGATATACTCGGATTCTGACAGCCCTATACCATGAGATGCTTTCATACTTGGAAATGACCAGTCAGAATGCCTGTGATCAGGCGCAGATTATGTCAAGTCTTAGTCAAGTGCTGGTTTGCTTACTGGCAACTCTGTAGATTTTTTTGTCCCATTTTTCCTTGAATTTCTTTAATTAGGCTTATCACTACCAATGTAGTGAATTCAATGGAAGGACAAGGTCCAAAAAGTATTTGACTGGCTGTCATTTTGGCTAATAAATAATCAGGACGAGTACCTTTCGATGAGGCGTGACCTGCGATCCATCTTCCAGCCAAAGTTATAGCCAAAGCTTCGTGATATTCTTCTGTCAGGTTGAGTAGTACTTGTCTGCTACCCTCTTCATTTGGTTTGGATGTAAGTCCTTCTACCATTCTGATTTAAGCCAGTATTCCTGCAATTCCTAAGTTTAAAAGAAGTAAATTTTTAACAGATTCTTTATTGAGGCAGACTGAGTTTGAAGTCTACAAAGTCTAATCTCTAATGGACTATATAGACGAGCAGGTTCCTTTCAGTAATATTGTTTCTGGTAACTTTTTCCTGCTATGAGAATCCCTGCGAACTCAGTTTAAACTAACACTATTGTTCACATTTTACACTTAGGTTGAAGTATCTGGAGTATATTCCACATCCTTGTTCTGTTTTGAAACCGTCGGTGTCGATGTAGATATAGATCGTAGCTGCCACCTCCGACTCTTCAATTTGTTTCGTCATTACTTTGTATGGCTTATGGAAGTGTACATGTTCACTTGAAATAGTTGAAGCGTATAGAGTACCTTTCTCCAAAAACCACGTCCTACATCAGGTTTTATTCCAATTCCAACCATCATTTATTTTGTGAGTCTTTATTTCTAATTGTTATTTGGAGCGGTCTATGGTTTAATAATTAAATGAGTTGTGCATGAGTTTCATGTGACAAAAATATTTTTACTTGGGCGAAACATTCGTTTATTCTGCGTATCCACGATTTCACTTCCAGTTTGGTTTCATGTAACAAAGTGCTACGTGATTTCGCTAGTTACTGCTTAGACGTCATTATGATCAACTTCTTAATTGCCGTGTATCCCAATATATTTAAAAGTTGTAGTCGATATAATTCATTTGTAACCAGTTGTGCGATCGGATGAGAAGTCTATAGTTATTATATCTCTGATAGAACCCAAAGGGTTTGTTATTAATAGTGATTTTGGGATGTCTTTTAGCATATTGTTCTCCGGTGTAGACACTGTTTTCATTGAAAAATTTGAATTGGATTAACAAACTTACGGTGACTACTGCTAGGTTTTCGATACCTCAGATCGTTGTGGAGTTCCACTGATGATCGATGATAAGGTATTGTTAAACTTGTAAAGAGCGAGTATCTAACTTTAAGTCACTCCAAATTCTACAATTTCCTAGGATGATAGGATTCGAAGGATCGGTGTAGGCATCTATACTATTATCTTGCTACAGTAGCAACAAAACGTGGCACAATAGATATTTTTGGTCGCAAACTATTAATACATATACACTACTGCTTCCTCATAACTCTTATTTTACTCATATGAATAATTGCAAAATATATTTTCATAGGATAAGACTGCTTTCATTTCTCTAGGTAAAAAACTGAGCACACTGAAATTTATAGGGCTATTTCTCACCTGACAGGGTTTGTGATTAGGGACAATCCACAAGGTTGTTTTTTGGGCTACGTATCCCAAACGGACCCCAAAGGAAAATTACCGTCGTGGCTAGTCAACAAGATCACTCAAAAATTCGCCCCGAAAGTGGTGAAGCAACTTAGGAAGGCAGCTGATGGATACGAAACGTGGAAGGCGGCTCAAAATGATCCTTTTCTTAAACCTTGGGTGTATCCCGAACAAACTATGAACTCGCCCAGGATCAGCGTTTCAGATGTAAGTATCGTTTATAAGAATCTTGATTTAAATAACTTTACTAGTAATATTTTCACTACAAAACCAAACCTACTTGCACTTACCTACTTCTCTCTATTTTTGATAGTATTAACCTCTTCTATTTACTATACAAAAATTAATAAATTTAATTTTTTTTGTTAGAGTATTGTTACTAGTCATTGCTGACTAACCTACAATTTTAATCTAAAAATCTTATAAACTAATTACTTATCTAAGAAGTCCCCATTGGGCTGTCTTAATTGTTTCTATAGGAAAGAATCACAAGTTGGCGTGACGATTTATTACACTGTTTTACACTAGCACTAACATTAACGTTCACTTCACTAGCTCAAATGGCTTCTTCCTTTTGAGACTTCTGTTGAGTGTAGAGTTGTCCAGTAATTGCAGCGCTTCTTCGTTGACGTGGGAGTGGAGTTGACCCTCATGTTTCGCAGCAAACCTCTTTATTTCTTCTTCGATTGTTGGCATCTTCAGGTCTCTATGAAGATAATCGTTTCGGTAGAACCAAGGTGCATCAACAATGCATCTTATGACTTTATTTTGGAAAACTTGTATCATGTTGATATTACTCTTGCTGGCACATCCCCATAGCTTTATACCATAAATCCAGATTGGTTTTAGGATTTGTTTATAAATCAGCAGTTTGTTGTGCACTGACAATTTGGATTTTCTTCCTAAGACCTAATACATTTTTTTGAATTTAATTTCAAGTTCTTTACGCTTTTTTTTATGTGCTCTTTCCATGTAAGTCTTACATCTAGGTTCATCCCTAGGTATTTGGCCGAATCGTGATGCGGAATAACGTCATTGTTTATTCTTATTTGTTTTTGTTCACTTGGTCGAAGAGTAAAATCAACATGCACTGATTTAGTTTGATTTATTTTTATTTTCCACTTTTTTGTCCATCGATTGATTCTGTTGCAGGTTTCCTGAAGTTTTTCTGAGGTCTCTGTATTAGTTCCGCCAACTGCCAATATTACAGTGTCATCCGCAAATGTCGCTATTTTAACAGATTGTTGTTGAGGGATATCGCTGGTGTATAATAAGTAAAGAACCGGTCCTAGCACACTGCCTTGTGGGACACCTGCTTTAATTTCTTTCATTTCGGAGTATGCCTTTCTTGCTTTACTCTAAACATTCTTCCCGTAAGATAGAATTGTAGAATGTCGACATATTGTCTAGGGAGCATTTTTTCAAGTTTCTGTATTAGGCCAGCGTGCCAAACCTTGTCAAATGCTTGAGCTACGTCAAGAAATATAGCTGAGAGCATATATATTTTTCTTCGTAAGCTTTTTCGATGATATCGGCTATCCTGTGTACTTGATCTATTGTCGAGTGTTTATTTCTAAAACCAAATTGGTGCGAAGGGATCAGATTTTTATTTTTAATTATGGGTTTTAGTCGTTTTAGTAGTAGTTTTTCAAATAACTTAGATATTATAGGTCTATATGATGACACTTTATTCAGAGGTTTTCCTGGCTTAGGAATTAGGATAACTTTAGCCATTTTCCACGCATCCGGTATATATTTAAGGCGAAATGCTGCATTTATGAGGTATGTCAATTTAACAATAGTCTTCCGTGGTACTTTCTTTAATATTTCTCCAGTAATAAGGTCATATCCTGTGAATTGATGTTTGTCTTTCATAACTTCATTGGGAGTAACTAGCTTAATTTCAAGTTGTTCCATATTATGGATGGTCTCATTAGGAGTGTCTTGATTTTCATCTAATTGAAACGTCTTTTGTAGGTAGTCAGCGAAAATATTATCTTTTTGTTGATTGTCTCTTGCCCATTTGTTATCTGCTATTCTGATTGGAGGACAGTGTTTACATGAATTTTTCATCTTTTTAGTTGCCTTCCAGAGTGAATAATCAGTTTCTTTATCATCTGTTAGCCCTACTAGGTATCTGTTGACGGATTCTTCTTTGTGATTTAGGGTTTCTCTTCTCAGTCTTTGGGTAGCCCTATTTAATATATTTTTATCTTCTGGTGATCTTGTCATCTGCCATTTCTTTCTTAGTTTTCTTTTTTTGCTACCAGTTCTCTTATCTCGACCGGATAGTTTTTTCCAGCTGTTAATCTTCTTACTTTTGGTGTGTTCCTCCATGCAGCTTGCTGGATTTCAACTATAAACCTTTCCAGTTCTTCATCTAGCTGATTTTTCGTTTTTAGTGTCATGGTCAGTTGAATAGTATTTGTTAAGTCCTCTTGAAAACCTTCCCAATTAGTGTTCCGATTTGCTAGGGTCGGTTTGGCTTCTTTTTGAATAACATTATCACTTAGAGTAAGGATTACTGCAGAATGGTCTGAATCCATATCAAAGTTTTCTTCTACTTGTGTATAGTTTGGTGAAATTTTCCTCAGAGTAAAGAAATCCAAAAGGTCTGGAATCTTATTTGGGTCGGTGGGCCAATAGGTGGGTTTTTCAGAAAATTGGTATGTATAACCAAGTTCTGATGCAGCTCGGTGCAATTCTTTTCCTTTGACTTTAATCGCGTTCTGAAATAATTATCAGTATACATAATCCAAGGTTGCGAAGAGATAAATATTACCCTCTATGTATAAATGTTTACTATTTCTACTTCCTTCTGCTTTCCATCTTCAGATTTAATGAGATTTTCAGTTTTCGTATTATTTAGGTAACCATACTTTTAGGTAACCATACTCAAGTATCAAGTCTTAAACGAAGAGCCAGAAAGTTTGTTAAAATACTCTCTGCAAAAGTAAAAAGGATATTGAAAATAGGAAAGTATTTTTTTATAACATTAAATTGTTCAATAAACAAACAGTAAATAATTAACTAAAGTGAATACGAAATGAAAATTATTTATAGGTTAATTCAACTAAAAATCCTCTAAAGGGTCAGTACATTATAATCTTGTAGAAGAAGCTGCCAATTACACTGAAATAAATTCTTTCTAATCACTTAGGTAGTGGTAGCCAAAGTGGTGCTATACCATTGTTGTTTACATTTTACTACAGTTCTTCCAAAGCTTCTTTACATATACATCATAACATGAAATTATCAATTTTTTCAAAATAATGTCTGTGACGAAATTAAAAACAACAACAGGCAGCATCTAGAGGTTTTTATTTAAGTAGATTACATTGTTCTTACATTTAAACCAAGTCATAGCCAGTGATAACGTTAAATTTTGACGTTAAACCTTGTGCGCTTTTTTTTCATTTGTATATAAGTGGGATTTCAAGCTATATACCTGGTTTAATCATTACTGACAGGAAAGGTAGGTTAAGAGCCTTCATATATAAGAATAAACTAAAACCTTGGAAAAACTCAGAAATAATACGTAATAATAATACGTAAGGACGTGCCATTTATGTCAGAAATAGAAACACACATAGAACCTAAATGGGATGTTTCTGGTAGATCGGTCTTTTTTTTTGAGCGTAGACATGAATCATGAACCTATCAAGAACTAATAGAGAAACTTTTAAACGTTATTGGTGTTAAAAAATAATTGTGGATCATTTGTTTTTTATTATTTTAATCTCCTAAAAATACAGCAATGAATTGATTTCAAAACCCTCTTCATAAAAAATTATTTTACTATTTGCCGCCCTCTGAATTTGCCGCCCGGGACACGGGCTCCGGCTTGCCCCCCCCCCCCCAGATCAGGAGCTGCCACGTACTTGACGGTTTTGACACAATGTCTCGCGCAGGCAGCCGCACTTATTGGAGCCACTAAATTACGGAATGCACTCAGACAGCGTTGTCACATTTTACTAAAAAAGCAGTCGTTTCTAAAATAATGCTTTTTAACAATCGGCATAAAAAGCGTAGCTTAATTTATTTTTTTTTTTATTTTAGTGTGCTTCTGTTGGAGACCAGATTATAAATAATGTGGAAGACTGTGACGAAACCAGATGAAACAGTATTACGGCTCACAATGTTCAACGTGTCTAAAATAAAATTAATTAAAACACAATTTTGTGATAAGCATTTTTAAGTTCTCTGTTACTAAATTCAACCAAATAAAAATATTAAACGTTAAACATAGAATTTTTGTAGTTTAATATCCGTATTAACACATTTACCGAGTTGTAAAAGCAGCGTTATAGTAATATATATAAATCAGTATGTTGTGAACATTTTTTTATAGATACCTAAATAAGCGGAAGCCATAATTTTAGCTTATAGCTATTTAAATTATTATATAAATCAATAATATTATATTTGGAAATAGGAATTAGGAAAGACACAAATGTATTACCAATAAAACTATAATTCGGCTCGAAGGACCAATATTATACAATGTAGAGTTTTGATAGATATGCCATTTTTCACAGGCTTACATAATAATAGATTATTAGTAACAAATATATGTCATCTTAAAATTACCAGTGCAGCTTCTCTTACTGCGTAGTATATAGTAAACCGTTATCGAAAGCATACAGAAAAGCTAATTAACAGTATTAATTTCATGTTTAATAAACAACGTCATTTTACTTGAATGACAAGAGCATATCATAATACAGCTGGATTTCCTTGATACTTCTCAGTGTTTGAATTAAAGCAGTACTCGAAAATATAATTCAATATTTCAAAGCGCTATTAACATCACTAAAATCTCAAGGGAGAAGCGCAACTTGTCGCACACTAATTTAGATTTAATCGAGTTAAAATTTCATTTATTAATTTAGCAACACGCCATTATTATTTTTTATTAAATTTAAAGAATCGCTTTATTTGACTGTGAATCCAACTCACGACACTTTGGTTAGCGTTCGACGGTTTCAGCTACTCTACGAGCACTACCACGTAGATTTTTAACATTTCTTTACTAGATATACTTATGTCTAAAAAGGAACATCTACTGAGTATCGATATGCAGCTGTCATGTTAATGTTTTATTTTTTTCTAAATCGCTTACTTTTTGTGACACTAGAGCACTGATCTGTATTATTTTACTGGATAGGATATAGGCTATATTTAACATACTAAAAAATCGTTCCACCAAGGAGACCGGAAGTGTAACAATGCTGGCCGATTTGGGCAAATTATGGTGGGTTCACAGAACTGAAATTTGGGATAATTTGACGTACCTAACCTATAATTTGATTAGTTTTTCTTCTTATTCTTCTTCTATTCCTTTTGCGGGCGATGTCCTTCGGGAAATTTCACCCATGATTTGATTTTTTATGAAAGAAAATATAAAAATGGAAACGTGAAGCATATTATGTCTTCAGGAATGAACATTTATTGTTTATTTCATACTCTTTTTACTTTGTTTTCCACAATAAAAACATCTCATCGTAGCTTGTTGACACAATTTAATGACAAATGTGATGACAAATGGAAATAGAGGTTACGTTAAATAACATCCGGTCCGCCATATTATTTGCCCAAATCGGCCAATTTTTCGGAACGTTTTTTAGGGGGCTATATCCTATCCAGTAAAATAATACAGATCAGTGCACTAGAGTGTTATGGACTGTTGAGACAATCAAATTAGATTGTAACCTCTAGTGTTTACGTCTAGTAAATTCATGGTCTATTTTCAATGACACTTGACAGTTGAATGACATTTATTGTAAGATGATCTTTTTTTCATATGTTGTACTTGTACTGATTACTGTTTCTAATAAAGCGTTTTTTGATACTTTTCAATTTACAACTGGAAAGGACTTTTATTAAAAATAATATATAATACTTCTATGGCACATTGCTCAACTCAACATGGACCCTCTTTCAATTAATAATAAACCATTAATAATACCAGAGACAACCCAGCGAGACGTGTAACTCAATATATTTTTTTTTGTTCGGTAAAAGTTGTTTGGGCGATTGTAGCCACAACCAGTCTATGATGGCGCCAGTAGTAAATAGCGGGAAAATTTAAAAATGCTTTAGGGCGGGAAATTCAAACATGTATTCAGAAATAAATAGTTTTTCTATACAAATTTACAGGAGAAACAGAAACTATTGTTTCACTGTATATTTATATTTACTATTAATAACATTGTTATACAGTGTATTTAGTGTGTGATGTGTTTGCCAATGATTTCGGATAGATACATTAGGTAAGTATTATTAATTATTTATTATTTGTTTTCACTTAAATTCAAAGAGAGTGGAATTTTGTCCAAAGGAAATCTCCTTTTTATAAACCATGTTTTGTAGACTTCTATAATATATACCACACTACCACACTGATTCCAGAAATCGAATAGTTTTCTTTATCCAGTAGAGTGTAGGTAGCGATTTTTAAATACTGTATATTCCGAAATCAATCGTTTTAACTTTTGGTCTGCACACGATTTTTTTTTACTCAAGGATACTCAAATATGTATAACCAAGACAGATAGGATTGTTTACAAAATTTCCGAAGCCAACGCTTCGGCAGATACACAAACATCTGATTGAACATTGTAGCAAAGTTTACTTTGTTCTTAACCGTAGTAATGCAATCGTTCTCATACAAGATGTAAAATCTAAGAACCGCGCAATAAGAAAATCGATATTTGTAAAAGTTGTAAACCGGTTTTTTCATTCATCATTTTACAAATTTAACTCGGAAATTTGTTTATCAGATGTGTTTTCAAAGCACTGCCCCAAACACATATTCCTTAGCGTAGATGACTTTCTACCAAGGAAAAATATAACAATTTTATATATTCAATTGGTAGAATATCTTTCATTTTCCTAAATATGAATAAAATACAACCTACATTTTTTTATTACTAGTTGTTTATGTGGATTCCATTTTAGATCAGAATCTATAACTCCTAAACATTTCACTGCTTTTATAAGTGCAATATAAAATAATCATTTGCCTATATAAACATCAAAATTAAATTTAGGAAAAACAGATGCTGTACAGCTAAATGGTAAGTAATTTGTTTTTTGAAGTTCTTTATTAACTTTACTAGCCAGAATATTTCCAGTATCAACAAACCATTTGATAAATTTATTTACAATATACTTAAGTTTTTGGACAGTGTTACATATCCATGCCGTACGCCACTGGCAAAGTTTATTTAAGTGATTATTTTGCTGATAGTTGTATCTTATAACACCAAAAATGTTTACCGAATTTAGTAAAATTATACTAAGAAATAAAAAAATTATGGTCATTAATATAATTTTAGAATTTTTAACTTTAACATCCTGTATTTCGGAAACCAGTCATATTTTATCGAATCATGTTTCGTCTAATTGTCTTATTTTTAATAAAAGAATATTCAGTTGATCTGTGTCCCATTACTATCATTATTAATAAGACACCCTATTCAAAATATAAAAAAAAAATTAAAATTGTCTAGTCTATTTTAATACCGCAGAGCTTAACTCGGATTTAAACAAAAATGTTATCTTGTTTTGATTTATCGTATATCACATCGATGACGGATTTTTCCTTTTTATATTTATTCAGAAAAAAATCGAAAATAGTTCATGATTCTTTTTATCATAAAAAAGTTTCAATTTTATAGACAAAAACACTCGAGTAGTTGTAAACAAAACCGGGTATTAATCACTATTTCAAACAATTGGAATTTTTCGCTATGTTGGGATTTTTATTGTTAAAACCAATCTGAATCAAAATATAAGATACTGATTTATCTTAAGTTTATTTACAAGACAATACTTCGATAGATATTGAGGTTCTACAGTAATTTCAAGTTTGTGCTTGATCTAGATGACATTGAATATCAACAGTATTTAAATCTTTAGGTAAGTTGTAGTTCTTAAGAATTATTGCTCTCGGCTCTCGAGTTTAGTTTCAAGGGAAAAGCACAGCAGGTATCTACTCTAATGCCCCTATCTCAATATATTAGAAAACCTTGCATTCATAACTAGCACTAGGCAGGTGTTAGACAAATATTGTTTTTAGAAGGAATTTGAAACAATTGTTGCACTTGGTATTTTTGTAATAGTAAGGTGATTGCGCAGGTTGTCGACCACTTAAGGTATTTTTTTACTCAAAGGTTATTTCTCACTTATCAATTTTAAATATTTTTCTTTTTCTATACCATTAAAACTAAGTTTAAAGATTCATTATTTACCAGCATTTTTTATAAATTGATACAAAAAAAATCTTTTAATAAATATTTAGGCTAAAAATAAAAGTGCGTTTATTTCCTATTTTTGGCCCTCATATGCCCATCACCAGCCAGCACTTAAACATTTTTCGACCAGTTGGTCGTTTGAGAGGTCTGAAAATGCTTACATCAGCTAGCTGAAGCAAATGGGTGGTGTTAGGAGGGAGTGCATAAAGAATGATATTGTTCTTGTCACAAAATTCACTAAGTGGTAGAGTCATATAACTATTATGTCTATCGATGAATAAAATAATTGGTTTTGAAATATTTTCTTCAGTGAGCCACTTATTGAATTCATTGGAAATATATTCCAAAAAAACTTCTCCAGTAATCCATCCACTATCAGATCTCCCTAAGGTCCATTTTGGTGGCATACTTTCTATCAGTGATCGTGGAGGACGAACATGTGGAAACACAACGACAGATGGACACATTTTTCCATGTGCATTAAAGTTCATGAAAACTGTTATGTTCTCTTGCTCATTGCCTTTTTTAATTGTGTATAAATTTTTCTAGCCCTTGGTGCTAGCACCTTACCAGACTTGGGGCATAATGAAAACCCCGTCTCGTCCCCATTAAATATTCTCTGTGGATTTTCCATAATTGCGGTCAAATTTTTACTTTCCAAAAAATCTTGCAATTCCTTAAACCAATTTTTAATATACTCCTCTGTTATTAGAGCGCGAGTCATTGTTTTAAGTCAGTTTTCTTTATAAGAAAACCGCATTTTGCGATGTCCAATAACCATTCAGCAATTTTCTGGTCATCGATCACTTCGCTAGCCAAAAATCTAGAAGAATGTACTTCAACTATAAGAAATAGTATACAACTGCAGCGGTACCTAGCAATTAGTCTTCAATTTTGTAATATTTAATTTGTTTTGAAATATATTTAATTTTCATTAAACGGAGAACTTGTTTTCCTAAGGGAAAAACGAATTCCGGGATTCCTTTCCAGTGTGTGCCCCACTGCCGCTAGTGCCAACAAGCCGCCACTGCACACACCCAAGTACTAACTGCAGGTGACTTTGCTTGACTGCAGATATTGATACACAATTATGAACCTGCTAAGACGGGGCGATGACTGTTATACATAAAATATCAAACGACTGAATTGTACTTACATTGACATTTGACATGAATCTTCAGCAAGTATCCTTTGTCGTTTGATGTATGATTGATGATTGGTTGATGTCTGACATGTTTGGAAAATTATAATAACGTTACCAAGTACACATAACAGTTATGACTTTCTATAAAGGTTAATATTTTTGTTTTTTACATATTAAGACACCAAAATATGGCATCGTATCATTCTTCGATTTCCTTAATATCACAAGATAAAGTGTTATAAAGAACGCAGGGATCATTGTGCCATAAAATTGTAGTGTCATCCAGAAAATAGAGTGAAAGTACAGTTAAGTCCTTTATATAAAGAAGGAATAAAATAGAACTCAACACAGAACCCCGAGGGACTCCCTAACTTATATCTAAAATTTGAGAGTACATAATAATATGATTGCGTAAACTCAAAGTTTTTGCAAGTCCTCGCTGATCAGCAGTCTTTGTTTGATACACCTTTGTCTAATTCATTGCAAAACAGAGGATTAACGTTTAATTTTCCATATCTGTATATTATACAGATTTCTGGAATCATAAGTACCTACTGTGAAAGGCTTATGGTTGTAAAAGCTTTATCAGTTTAAATCTCATTAAATTTTATATAACGTGTAACATAATAAGTAATAAACATAATAATATTTTAAAACTATAAAGTTGTATTTTATGATATATAAGTAAATCAGAGAAGATAGTACTTATTATTTAAAAAACAGTTTATTCTAAGAAAAAAATTGAATGTGTGATTATCCTAATTAAGACTAATTGGTTTTCTCAAAGAATTTGCTTAAATTGATGAAAGGTAAATAAAATAAAACTTTTTTTTTATTAATTTTAAAATGTAAACTATTTCACAGACAATTCACCATGCAAGGTCTCTTGATTTTGTTGCTATGCGATATTTAAAGTGAATATTTATGCAGATCAACATATGAGCCGCTGAGAGCCAAAGTGGTATAACTCAATAAATTGCCGATTTTGAGTTATACCAAATTTCCCGTTCTTTTGATCGAAAACAGTAAACTGACAAAGTGGTATAACTCTACTTTGTGAATTTGCTAACAGAGGGCCCTTACATTGTTTTGCCTCCAAACGAATAGCGCTCTCATGAAAGTGGAAGAGTGGTATAACTTAGCGCGCCTACTAAACTCGTTACGATAATCTGTCAAAGTGGTATAAGTCATTTCTGTTCGCGTTCGCCAGCCGTATCGAAGCATTAGGGCATTAATATTTTTTTAACGTCAGATTGTTTATGTTGTTTTTGATAACTTCATTCGTTGTTTTTTGAAAGTATTAACAATTTTAATTTTACTTGATATCAATAGTGATTTCTTACGATTTACGATGAATGCGGAGGTGGAGACTAAAAAAGGGAAGAAAAGAGTAAGACGAGAAGTAGATCACAAGAAGGCCAAATTGAAAATAATGAGAAATAATGGTCAGGAGTATATTACAAACAAAGGTAAAAAAATCCCAGCCAAAGTATTTACTAATAAAAATTGTGGTTGTTCCAAAAAATGTATAGAATTAGTATCAGAAGAGGACAGGCGGGATATCTTTTCAAGATTTTGGAGCATGGGAAATTTTTCGGTTCAAAACACATACCTTTGTGGTCTGATTAGACGATGCCCTGTTCAGCAGCGACGTCCTGACCAGAATGCGGAGGTGCCAAAAGGCCCAAAATCGGTATCATACAAGTATTTCTTAAATGTAAAATCTAACAGTATTATGGTATGCAAAAATTTTTTTTTGGATACCTTTTCTGTTTCTAATGGAAGACTTCAGCGATCTCAAAAGAAAGAAGAGTTAGGAAAATCTCCTGGTGAAGATCTGCGTGGTAAACACCCTTCAGCAAATAAAATGCCCGCAGAAGTGCTCAAAATTGTTAAGCAGCATATTGCGGAATTCCCCTCTTTTGAGAGCCATTATACAAGAGCTCATAATCCCCACAGAAAGTATCTAAGTCCTAATTTGAATATTAGGAAGCTCTATGAACTCTACAAGGAATACGCAGTGCAGAAGGGAATTCCTCCAGAAAAAATTGTCAAAGAAAGTATGTATAGAACTATATTCAATATGGACTTTAATTTGGCATTCCACAGCCCCAGGAAGGATACATGCCAAAAATGCGATAAATTTAAAATAAAAACAGATGTAACTGACGATGGCCCTGAAAAAGAACAATTAAAACTTGAGCATATAATTCACCTAAGTAAAGCTGAGAAAGCAAGAACCTCTATGAAAGAGGATATTGATTTATTCAAAGAACATGAAGATGTTTCGATTTTTTGCTTTGATTTGCAAAAAGCGCTCGCATTTCCTAAACTGTCTACATCCAATGCTTACTACAAGCGAAACATGTATGTTTACAACCTAGGGATCCACGATCTTGTGACGGGTCAAGCTTACATGTACGTGTGGGATGAGACAACAGCATCAAGAGGGTCTCAAGAAATTGGTGCATGCATTATGAAACACGTACGCCAGTATTGCAGGCAATCTTCTCGCATTATTGCGTACAGTGACGCCTGTACTGGTCAAAATCGAAATATAAAATTATCTTTAATTTGGAAAAGAATTGTCCAAGATCCAGGGAACAACATAACTAATGTGGACCATAAATTTATGGTATCCGGGCACTCATTTTTGCCCAACGATCGCGACTTTGGAAATATTGAGACTGCCGCAAAAGGTGCATCAATCTTCTGCCCCACTGATTGGTACCGTGTCATCAAGGAAGCAAGGCAGCACAAAAAATTCATTGTCCATGAAATGACTCAACAAGATTTTTTTTCAACAGAACAGTTGGAAAAGTCTATTACTAAAAGAAAAGTAAATGTAGACAAAGGCAGATTCCTGTGGCTGAATATCCAATGGTTACAGTTTAAACATAACAAGCCACACTCATTGCTATACAAAGAGACTCTCAGCTCGCTAGTAACTTTCTCTGAAGTCGATTTAAGCAAACGGACTAGAGGAAGACCCTGTTCGCAGCTTCCAGCTAACCTAAAACTTCTATACGATGCCCCAAGACCAGTACCACCGGCAAAAAAAAGAGACATGCTGGAACTGCTGCAATGGATTCCACCAAACCACCATGAGTATTACCGTAATTTAAGGTCTTCTGAAGATGTCGCAGACGTTGGCCCTCTGTCTGATTATGGCGAAGAAAGCGACGACGAGTAAATTTTATGTTATTCATCACAGAATTATTGAATTTTTGAATAAACAATTTACAAAATTGTTTTTCTATTATTACCAGTTCAAACTCATCAAGCAAACCCAGTTTGAGGAAACAGAACTAAAATATGTTTTGTGAAAAGTGGTATAAGTCATTGACTTGTACCACTTTTCCTGTGCTTTCGCCTGAAGGTCACGCGGAAAAACGGTATTTAATTATAAGAACGTAATTTTATGCCATTCGAAAGAATAGCAGTCATTAATTTTGGTTTAGTAGGAAATTCGACATATTATATTGAATGAACGTATCAAATTTTTTTCCAAAAAAACAATCTGATAATTTATGGATGGCTAAAACGCAAATGTCAAGATTTCTCAAATCGTTAAAAATGGAACATATACCACTTTGGTTCTCAGCGGCTCATATCAAATGGAAACCTTTAGTGTTTGTTGCAGACACATATTCTACTCGACAAAATATCCCTATAGGTTCTCTCAATTTGTTGACTTTTTCAAACCTTGTGTGGAGAGAAGCTACCATTTCCGTAGAAAAAGGATCTGATGTTGTAACAATCAAAATTATATATTTATGTTGATACTGCAACGTTCTAGATCCTTTTTAGTCCCAACAGTTGGTAACACTGTAAGGCAAACAGTTTGTCAATCGTATCGATCTGCTGATGGCGATGATCGTTAGAAGTTCGCTGTATTATTACTGTAATTTCAAATAGTTAACATTATAATTTTTACTTTTTCACTCAGTGTTTTATTACTACCATCAGCTTCCACCACAGGATCTTATTCAAATAAAAATATAAAATGTTACTTTTTTGTTTTCAGACCATTCAACAAGAAAAAATGAAATATGACACGTTTTTCTTTAAAAGATACAGAAAAAAATGACACAATAGCAATCCCAGAATGTGAAGAACCTTTATTGAAATCCTCCTCTTCTGCAAACGATGATATATTCGATAAACAATACTTATTTATGAAAATATCTCTTAAATCTGTAGACATAATTTTAGCCTCAACAATTTTTTGTTTTCTTGTAATATGTTGTTGGCGAGGAGCATGGGAATTGTTTGATATCTACGATAATTATTTCCCTACTTATGAATCCTTTTGCCTGACAATGGTCATTTACCTTGTCTTGGCTCTTTCTCAGCATACTTTCCAAGATATAGTGGATCAACCAGCTGAAACTTCACTCAGAAAGTATTTTAATTTATTGATTATGAAAATGCATTTTTATATATTGTTATTTGCAACCATAATGCTTTTTAGAACAGGTTCTAATATATATGATGATATTGTTAATGTATTCCATGGAATAGGATTAAAATTTAAGTTTTGGGATGATGATTGCTCAGCTTCAAGTGTAATCCTGACTGTTATAGTAGTTGCAGTTTTGACATGGATTCGGGGTATGGCAAATTTGACAACTGCTCCTATGGATATCACCTGTGATGGCAAAGATGATATTTTTCTCATAGAATGTACATTTTTTAAGGTAAGTTTTTTTGTTAATATCTTGAATTTTGTAAAACTGTATATTTAATTGGTATCTCTATGCGAAAAAACTGGTTGATGATCTTTTTAGGACATTGAAGATTAAAGTTTTAGATATCTGATATTATTTACTTGTAGGCAGAGAAACTAAATCAAAAAATTTACAATTTCGTACTATTAAGAGAACATAAATTTGCCTTTGATTGATCAGCATTTTATGATGCTGCCGTTGAATGATGTAATCATGTATTTATTGTTGTCAACTTTGAGATATATTACATGATACGAGTTCGCGCGTGACGTATTGTGGTGTGGAATATGGATGATTGGCCACCACAATATTTCGCCATGATGTAGTATCAATCGGCGTATTATAATGTTTTTTTTATAGTATCATCGATATATATTAGAAATTTTTCTCTTTTTCACTTCAACGATCTTATAAACAGACTGGGAGGAGGCATGCGAATTCTTCTGTGTTAAAATCTTAAATTCTTGCAAGGTTATGAGTTTCTGATTTTAAAATAACGGAATAATATAATAGAACAAACAAACAAACGAAGTTGCATGATATTTTATGAACCCTGACATCGGATATTTAAAAATATTTGAATTAAATCAGAGACAATGACAAACGAGGACAAAAAATGTATTCTGTTGTTCGATGAGATGACAATTAAGAAAACCATCGAATATAATAAAAAATTAGATGTCATTGAAGGGTTTGAAGACTTCGAGAACAACAAAAGAAAGCCAATTTTTGCCGGACAAGCTTTAGTGTATTTTCCCAATAAAAAATTCCATTAGCTTTTTTTCTAACGCAAAACGGTGTCGATGCTTGATCCTTCGAAACTATTATTATTAAAAGTTTAACACATATTCGAGACTTAGATTTGGAACCTTTATGGATAGTGTGTGATTTATCTACAGTTAACCAAAAAGTCTATAGATCTTTGGGCATTACTGTAGACAACCCTAAATTTGCCATAGTAAAAAACAATTACTATGCATTTTTTATGTGCCTGATCTAGTAAAATTCATTCGAAATATGTTTTTACAAAATTATTTTATCTTCAATGGCAAATTTATCAGATTTGCTGATGTTAAATAGGTTTATGAGCTGGACCAACGCAGCAAATCTGGAAGAGCTTTATTAAAAATCAGTTTAAAAAACCTTTTCCCAAATGCATTTGAAAAAATGAGCGTAGAGCTCGCTACTCAGTAATTTAACCATTCTGTAGCTACAACCATTAAAACGGCAACAAGAACTGGAGAATTAGTTTACATAACGGCTGAAAATACAGTCTACTTTATTGAAACAATGACCAACCTATTTGATGGCTTAAATAGTTCTTCTGCATATAGTTCGAAACCTTGTAATCTATCGTATTATATTGAGAATAAAGATGAATGACAAAATTAGCGATTTACCTACATAAAGACAAAAATGTTAAATACCTACCAATGGCTTGAATTCACGCTAATGAAATATGCGTAATATGGTAGACCACCAACTTAAAGATCATCTAACCGACTTCTAATCGTAATTATAAAGCTGGTAAACTATTATTCGATAGTTGCCAGTTTTGTTAAATAGAGACGATGTACGATCCAAAAAATTCGCAAAATGACAACGTTGTACGGTTGAACAAACAATCTCAACTTCTTTTACCGGCATCTAGAAAACTGTTTTCTGCTTACGACTTTTTTTTAATTTACGCTACTATCCGCTTGGAACCGCCATGTGACGAGCAGAATAAAATCAAACTTTGTCTCCATAAGCGTTGACTTAGTAGATATATTTATACAATGCTAATACTAATACTTTAAGTAGGCTAAACTAATACTCGATACCTATACACAATTTTACAATTTGAAGTTGATAGTTTACTCAAAAAAATTTAGATAATTCTAGAGTAGCACACAATAAGTCAAATATTTGTGATTTGTTAAATGATAAGAATGAAGTGCTTCTATTTATCTAATAGCTGTTTACTGTTATTTAAGCGAGTACTCTTACGTGCTGTTAAAGATTATAAAAATGTCTAGAAAGAAGTATTAAATTGATTTCTTGTCCGTTTTATAGTGTTGTAACTAAACTTAAATATTTCTACTTCTAGTCAAGAAAAATGAAATATCATAAAATGGAAATTGTTATAACAGATATATAAGCATGTATGGTATTAATATCCCATTCCCAACATAACAACATGTACCCGGTAGATAATTTAGCAGAACAATAATATGTTTGTTTTTAATCCAAATCAACCTATTTGAGACCTTTCCAATAAACATATTGACCGACAGGATAACAAAAAATCATTTAAATTTGAAGCTTTCGAACAATTCCTCAAATCATGGAGAAATTTTATTGAACGTACAGAAAAAAGAGAGAGTTTTTGATAGATTGGAAATTAATCCTATTATAATTAACCCTAACAGTGATTCAAGTGCTTGCGATTTAGATGTGGATTAGGATTTATTTTGTAGGTATTACGAAGATTAGTGATTGATTTATTTCTTGTAAGAAAAATATTTTTTTTTAAACAAGACATTGTCTTATTTTAATAATCTTATTTTTCTTATAAAGTGAGTCAAACAGGAATGCAAATATTTTAGGGGGAGAAAGAACAGATTTATATCATTTGATATAAAGGTAAAATAAAAGAAAAATAATTTTAGACGGGTAGTTTAAGGGGGTGAGTTAGGTATTCTTGTCCCTATTTTTTTAAATTTTATCTTTTGAGCTGAACATTGGTTTTTAGCGTTTTTAGAGTTTTTAAACATAATCCAAAACAGATGCAAATTCGTGAAACAGATTCTTTAAAAAAATATATATATTTATTGGATAAATCATATAAATTTTTTGATTCAATTTAATTTTCTTCACAACTAGACTCTGATTTAGACTCATGACTACTTGCCGTTGTACCTAAAATAATAATAATTGGTTCTAGATCAAAAACATCTAAATATAATTTGCCTCAACTTGCTTAATATTAAAGAATTGACTTTTGTTTTTCTTTGGCTTACTTTTTTAGACATTCAATTTTTCCTTTTACCTAATGTGGAATATATGGTCTCTACCATAAAAAGCGGTACTTATTCATCTATCTCTCTCTGAATTAGGGTGTGGTTCAAAGCCTACTCGTATTGAAGCACTAGACTCACAATTCTTACCCAATCAAGAATATATCTAATAGGCGCTTTCGCGATTTCTTCAGCTTCTGGATATTGCGCCCCCAAGTTCCATTCTCGTTCCCATTTAAGATTCCGACAATGGCATACTATGTGCATAAAAATTTCGGCATCTTAAGAGATTTAGGTGTCTTCTAAGGCCGCAGTGAATCGTAAAGAGTTCTATTACGGTCTTTAGTTTGCTTCTTCTAAGGTTTAGCAGTTGATTTTGTTTGCTCTAATAAAGCAGACATTCTACCATATTGTATGAAAGATATTATCCAAAAGATCGCATCACCCCACCAACTTAACTTTGAAAGGCGACTTAGGAAAACAGGAAAACTGAAGTAAAAAATAATACGAATTGCCAGAACAGTAGAGGCTTATCCTCGATATGAATTTGTATTTTTTGGAAAATCAGTTCTTTCTAATTTTAGATGTACTTCTACAAATGTGGAACTAAATGATATTCATGCATGACCAAGGGTTGCTAGAATGTATATACATCAAAATTTTGCTGCCAGATGGATAGATAGGGGCGCATATGCACCCATCCACTAGCATGCTTGGTTGCCAGACTTTACTGAGTGGGAATATTTAAAGTCTAGGGTCTATAATTCAGAAATTAGTAGAATTAACAAAGCAGATAGAAAATGAGTGTACATAAATTTGAAATTCATAGTTTGCTTCGGTTGAAAGTTAGAACCGAAAAACTGGTTTTTCCATTCTCTTTTTGAATGGCTTTATCTCCATTTTTTCAAGGTTTTTGACATTAATTTTAATTTTTTTATCACCTAAAATATTTCTTTTTGACTCACCTTGTATTGTATTGTATCTGTATTTATTTATTTATTTATTGATGGAATAAAATTAGTTTATACTGATGCTTTTGTAGTACCTATTCAGTTTTAGTTTCCATGACTGATTTTGTGTAGAGTGTTATTAATTTTATCATTCTTATTATTACATTCTATATTAAAGTCACCAACAAAAACATAATTTTCAAGTAGTCATCGTATAAATAATATTTTCTAATAAATTAACACTTGGGTCAAAAATCTTACTAATTTGTAAATAAACGACCAAAAATTTGCAAATGATGAAAAATATCGTGTAAGAAATTAGAAACAACTAGCTAATTTTATTAAAATACTTTTATTTATTTCTCATATCTTCTATCGTCATCAAAATAAGTCATATCAGGTAAAACTTTCAAATTCAAAGTCATCGCATCCTTCTTTAAATCCTGGTGATTTGGAAATCGTTTATCCTCCATCGGTACAATATTAATACTGACCATTACAGGTTTCTTCACCGTTGCTAAAACATCAGTGTTATCTGGAAGCCTTTTATTATAAAAAACTGGGTTTTTCAACAAACGAGGAATACGAGTGGGTACTTCTAAATTTGACTTATCGATGAAAGAACGTATTGGAATAGGTTTGTAGTTGAATCTATTAAATTGTCTCCATATTGGTGGAGCAAACCTTACACTTCCTGTTGCTAGCAAATTAACTTCACTAGGATCTCCTGGTCTAAAGGAATTGAGATTATCTTTCGGAGGCTGAGAAAAAGGAGTGTGAAGATCCCTCTTTATTATTTCTTCATCTATATTAATAAAATCTTTCTCTACAGTTTTCTCAGTAACGTAATCTATAACTTCTTGTATACTTTTTGGATAATAATGTTGTTTGTAGTAATTCAATTGAGGATAGTTTACAGTGGTGGTTTTTTTTGTTGTTGGAGGAATGGTTGAAGGTGTGGGAGTAAAATGTTGGGGCGGAAGACCCAGAACGTTAAATCCAAATGGTTTAGCAGGTTGTT